TCAATGAATTAATGTTTTACGATGGTCTTAGGCGACCCTTGTAAAAAGATCATTCGACCCTAAAAAGGTCGTAACCGCTAGGTAGAGAACCGCTGCTCTGTGTGTTTATATTGTCTCTGCGCCCAATCTCAAGAGCTCCTACCAACCACACCCCTGCACAAATCCGTCACAGTTTTGTTGGATCTTTAGCGACAGCCGTCACATGTGTATTGCTACAACATACTCTACTAGTCTACTACTATTATAGACGGGTCTGCGCGCCCAATTTGTGACCTTTTGACAATAAAGTTCATTCGTTCTTACGTGAAGAAAAAAAAAAATGCAAAACTTGAAAGTTTTATCTAGAACACAATCGAAAATCTCTCGACTAATAAACACATGTTCCAGACGAAATAAACTACTGATAAAATAGCTGTTTTACATAAACAGGTTGGCACGGCAAAAAAAGTTCTGTTTATAAAACTGGACTCAACAGTATCGCTTCAAAATAGTCTATAAATCCGTTCAGAGATGCCCGATTTATAGATGTGTGGCATTTTTCCCCTTATAAAGCTGACTAAAAACACACAATCTAGTACAGTTCTAATGAAAGAGGATAACGATCATTGCTCTCCGGACACGCTCGTGGGTGATCCGATCACTGCCATCATAAAACCTTCAGGGAGCGCTGACTAATGTCGAGGACTGGGGGGTCAACTAGTGCGCCAGATTTACGGATATTTAGAATGTGTCCCCCGGCTAATCCTGTCCTGTTGTTGTTGTTGTTGCTGCTACTGCTTCCTCTTCCTTCCTTCCTTCTTTTCTTTCTTCTTTCTTTCTTTCTTTCTTTCTTTCTTTCTTTCTTTCTTTCTTTCTTTCTTTCTTTCTTTCTTTCTTTCTTTCTTTCTTTTCTTTTCTTTCTTTCTCTTTTCTTTCTTTCTTTCTTTTCTTTTTCTTTCTTTCTTTTCTTTCTTTCTTTCTTTCTTTCTTTTTCTTTCTCTCTTTTCTTTCTTTCTTTTCTTTCTTTCTTTCTTTCTTTCTTTCTTTCTTTCTTTCTTTCTTTCTTTCTTTTTTTTCTTTCTTTCTTTCCTTTCTTCTTTCCTTTCTTTCTTTCTTTCTTTTCTTTTTCTTTTTCTTTCTTTCTTTCTTTCTTTCTTTCTTTCTTTCTTTCTTTCTTTCTTTCTTCTTTTCTTTCTTTCTTTCTTTCTTCTTCTTTCTTTCTTTCTTTTCTTTCTTTCTTTCTTTCTTTCTTTCTTTCTTTTCTTTCTTTCTTTCTTTCTTTCTTTCTTTCTTTCTTTCTTTCTTTCTTTTCTTTCTTTCTTTCTTTTTCTTTCTTTCTTTCTTTCTTTCTTTCTTTCTTTCTTTCTTTCTTTCTTTCTTTCTTTCTTTCTTTCTTTTCTTTCTTCTTTCTTTTCTTTCTTTCTTTCTTTCTTTTCTTTCGTTCTTTTCTTTCTTTCTTCCTTTCTGTTTGGTGTGTTTTGCTTACTCATTGTCCAAGATTCAATGTCCTCAAATGGTTATATGTAACATACATAAACTCTCTGTCAAGCTTACATCAACAATGATTCTTTTATTTTAAACACGTTTTTGCTGTCCTATATCCATCTTGTCATTGTCTCTGATAGATCTTCCCTCCGATGCTATTCCCCGTACCTAGACACTTGAACGCCCGTACTGGCCACACATCGCTACCAATGACTTTTCGCTGCATATTTCCCCACGATCTGTTGGGCTGCTCTACTTTTGGTTTTGTTTGCTGTTAGTTCCGTCTTATTGATATCCGAGCTGAGGCCTACATATCCGCTCCTCACAAGTGTATCTGTTCCCTGTTTTTTTTCGGACTGCTTGCTATCAACTCAGTTATCGGTATTTACCTCCAACCATTTTGTATCAGCCAGCTTATTTATACAATACATTATTTTTTACACCCCTAATATATTAATATATCTTTAGCGGCATCCTTATGCACTCACATTATTTTTAGGCGCACTGTTATCTATATTTAACTATTTCCTGCAGACGCTCTGTTATACAATAATACACACACACACACACACACACACACATATATATATATATATATATATATATATATATATATATATATATATATATATACACGAGGGCCTTCAGTACTATCCTTTCCTAGCCCCGAGTGTTCACTTCTATTAGCATCGAGTGCCCACCTCTCTTAGCCTTGAGTGCCCCCATTTCCTAGACTTGAGTGCCCCCATTTCCTAGACTTGAGTGCCCCCATTTCCTAGACTTGAGTGCCCCCATTTCCTAGACTTGAGTGCCCCCATTTCCTAGACTTGAGTACCCACATTTCCTAGACTGGAGTGCCCACATTTCCTAGACTTGAGTGCCCCCATTTCCTAGACTGGAGTGCTCACATTTCCTAGACTGGAGTGCCCACATTTCCTAGACTGGAGTGCCCACATTTCCTAGACTGGAGTGCTCACATTTCCTAGACTGGAGTGCCCACATTTCCTAGACTTGTGTGCCCACATCTCTTAGCATTGAGTGCCTACCTCTCCTAGCCTTGAGAGCCCATGTTTCTTAGCCATAAGTGCCTACATCCCCTAGCCTAGAGTGCCCACATTCCCTAGCCTTGAGTGCCCACATTCCTTAGCCTTAAGTGCCCACATCCCATAGCCTTGAGTACCTACCTGTCCTAGCCTAGAATGCCCATCTCTCTTAGCACTGAGTGCCCAAATCTCCTAGCCTTGAATGCCTACCTCTTCTAGCCTAAAGTGGCCACATCTCCTAGCCTTATCCTCCTCTCCTAGCCTTAAATGTTCCGCTTTCTCTGAGTATTGACTTCTCCTATTATTGGCACGGCTTCTACAGTCCATTACTTAAGTCTAGCCCCACTTTAAAAATATGTAACTCAATAACCCTTGTGTGCAAGTTGTTAAAATTTGGCATACAATCTGTTAATAATCATGTTCTTGTGCGACATGTTTAAAAAAAATGTAAACAAATATCTAGTTTTCACTCTGGCGTAAAAGCATGCTTACAGCTAACCCAACAACCGGAACTTTTCCAAAACATCAAATTGCACGCGTGTCTAGGGCCTTTCAATCTCCTTTTCCATCTCCAAGATTACTCTCCCGAGAGTTGCGGATTTTTTTCATCGTATGCCGGATAGTCCATCAAAATAATCACCACGCATCGCTGCACATGTGAAATGATTTCCAAACAATCTCTAAGCCTCTGTCAATTACTGTATATTCTTTTTTTTTAGGGGCATACAAACAATTAGTTAAGCAAAGATCAAAGAAACTCGCCGCTTCACAAAACCAGCAGCACTAGAACCGATTGCAAATTATAACATTAAATGTAAGAAAATTAAGAACGTATGAAAAAATTACTGTTAATCCGCACAGGAGTTTTTCAGCTATTTGTTGGGTGACTGCGTGGTCTCGAGGCATGGTGTCCGCCTCGAGTGCTAGAGGTTCCGGGTTTAATCCCCGGTAAGTGCTGGGATTTTTCCACGTGGACTTGGACTTCTAGTAATTTCCCCTGGTCTCTGGGTAGTGAGATCGGACGCCCGTGTGAAAAAATCCCTTGCAGTTGGAAATCGAAAAAACTAGCCTAACGGCGCTGCCCGGGCAGAATTTGGAGTAAAAAATCTAGTGTTTCAGGATCCTCGCCGCTGCTACAGAGCCTGTGCACTGTGCTGAGCTTCTTCGGACTCAGACTTGAGTTAGAAGAAGAACGTAGCACTTATAGGTTACTAACCGTGTGCCATGATCCGTTATACACAACCTCGAACCTCAAACCTCAAGATATTTGTTAAAGTGTGAGAGCACAACTTTTGGAACCCACTATACCTGGAGAATGTCCCAGTCAGTGCACGTGCTCGGCCAGCTGGGCCATTATAACCGGATAGGTCACTGGCACGTTTATGTCCGGCCCTGGTAGATCGGGCCAGCGACTGACCCCTAGATCCACTGGGATCTGCCTTATCTCTGATCACCCTGCTTGTGTGGTTGAGCTGGTTATCTCCACCCCCATGTGGGACGAATGTTTCTTTATTTTGAAGCCCCACCCTGATTGTTGCCGGGGGCCCTAATGTAACCTAACGGTTGAACGGGATTTCAGGGACCTCTCCACGGGTGATCTTTATCCGAATTGTGGCAGTTTGTGTCACCAGGTGTTTCTAGCTTAGTGTGATGTCTTGGTGGGGTAAAAAGTCAGTCTGTTTGAGCTGGAATGTGTACAAGCTGGCAATGTGTACACCGACTGTCTGTCTGAGCCGGCAATGTGTACACCGACTGTCTGTCTGAGCTGGAATGTGTACACCGACTGTCTGTCTGAACCGGCAATGTGTACACCGACTGTCTGTCTGAGCCGGCATTGTGTACACCGACTGTCTGTCTGAGCCGGCAATGTGTACACCGACTGTCTGTCTGAGCCGGCAATGTGTACACTGACTGTCACTCTGAGCTGGTAATCTGTACACCGACTGTCTGTCTGAGCTGAAATGTGTACACCGACTGCCTGTATGAACCGGCAATGTGTACACCGACTGTCTGTCTGAGCTGGAATGTGTACACCGACTGTCTGTCTGAGCTGGAATGTGTACACCGACTGTCTGTCTCAACAGACAATGTGTTCACCGACTGTCTGAGCCAACAATGTTTGCACTGACTGTCTGTCTGAACCGGCAATGTGTTCACCGACTGTTTGTCTGAGCTGGAATGTGTACACCGACTGTCTGTCTGAGCTGGAATGTGTACACCAACTGTCTGTCTGAACCGGCAATGTGTTCACCGACTGTCTGTCTGAGCTGGTAATGTGTACATTGACTGTCTGTCTGAGCCGGCAATGTGTACACCGACTGTCTGTCTGAACCGGCAATGTGTACACCGACTGTCTGTCTGAGCTGAAATGTGTACACCGACTGTCTGTCTGAACCGGCAATGTGTACACCGATTGTCTGCTGAACCGGCAATGTGTTTACCGACTGTCTGTCTGAGCTGGAATGTGTACACCGACTGTCTGTCTGAGCTGGAATGTGTACACCGACTGTCTGTCTGAACCGACAATGTGTTCACCGACTGTCTGAGCCGACAATGTTTGCACTGACTGTCAGTCTGAACCGGCAATGTGTTCACCGACTGTTTGTCTGAGCTGGAATGTGTACACCGACTGTCTGTCTGAGCTGGAATGTGTACACCGACTGTCTGTCTGAACCGGCAATGTGTTCACCGACTGTCTGTCTGAGCTGGTAATGTGTACATTGACTGTCTGTCTGAGCCGGCAATGTGTTCACCGACTGTCTGTCTGAGCTGGAATGTGTACACCGACTGTCTGTCTGAACCGGCAATGTGTTCACCGACTGTCTGTCTGAGCTGGAATGTGTACACCGACTGTCTGTCTGAACCGGCAATGTGTTCACCGACTGTCTGTCTGAGCTGGTAATGTGTACATTGACTGTCTGTCTGAGCCGGCAATGTGTTCACCGACTGTCTGTCTGAGCTGGTAATGTGTACATTGACTGTCTGTCTGAGCCGGCAATGTGTTCACCGACTGTCTGTCTGAGCTGGAATGTGTACACCGACTGTCTGTCTGAACCGGCAATGTGTTCACCGACTGTCTGTCTGAGCCGGCAATGTGTACACCGACTGTCTGTCTGAACCGACAATGTGTTCACCGACTGTCTGTCTGAGCCGGCAATGTGTACACCGACTGTCTGTCTGAGCTGGTAATGTGTACAGCGACTGTCTGTCTGAGCTGGCAATGTGTACACCGACTGTCTGTCCTAGCTGGCAATGTGTATACCGACTGTCTGTCCCAGCCGGCAATGTCTACAACTGACTGTCTGTCCCAGGCGGCAATGTGTCCAACCGACTGTCTGTCCCAGCCGGCAATGTGTACAACGACTGTCTGAGCTGGAATGTGTACGCAGACCGTCTGTCTGAGCTGCTACTGTGTACACCGACTGTTTATGTTGATGTGTATTTTCTTAAACTGGAATAGGCTGATTTCTTTTCAGAAATGTTGTAGATTTTTTTTACTTTTAATTGCGAAATCTGTACAGGACGTTGCAGAATTAACTTCAGCATTGTTGTTGTTGTTGTTGTTGTTGTTGTTGTTGTTGTGTGCATGGAGCTGTTATGTAGTTGTACTTGGCAATTTTACCAGTGTATTCACCGCAAAGCGATCTGCTGCCCAATCGCTGGTAGATAAATGTAAATCGGGTATTACATAATCAGGAAGCGAATTCCCATAGCTAAGTCATATGCTCTGACTTTAATACTGTATATTTTATATCATAGTAAATATAACACTGAATTTTTATATTTAAGAACACAATTGTATATTTTTTATCATAGTATAGCACCGAATATTTTATATTTTAGAATATTACTTTATATTTTATATTTTAGAACACAGCTGTATATTTTATATTATAGTTCAAGACTATATATTTTATATTATAGTTTAGTACTCTATAGTTTATATTATAGTTTAGTACTATATATTTTATTTTATAGTTTTGTACTATGTATGGTATACTATAGTATAGTAGTCTATATTGTATGTTATAGTAAAGTACTCTATACATTATATTACAGAACAGTACTGTATGTTCTGCATTATAGTATAGGAATGTGTACTGTATTTTATAGTATAGTAGTCTATATTGTATATTATAGTAAAGAACTCTATACATAATACTACAGAACAGTACTGTGTGTTTATAATATAGTACTGTATACTGTATTTTATAGTTTAGTAGTCTTTATTCTATTGTATAGTATAGTACTATACATAATATTACAGAACATTACTATATGTTTTATATTATTGCATAGTACTGTACACTGTATATTATATTATAGTAGTCTATATTATATATCATAGTAAAGTACTCTATACATTATATTACAAAATATTACTATATGTTTTGGATTACTGTATAGTACTGTATACTGAATATTATAGTATAGTACTGCATATTTTATATTTTAGTATAGTACGCTATATTTTACAGTACTCTGCATTTTTTATTATACTATACACTCTATACATTATATTACAGAACAGTACTGCACATTTTCTTTTATTGTATAGTACTGTGTATTTTATATTAAAGTACAGTACTCTATATGTTATATTATAGAGCAGTACTGTATATTTTGTTTTGCAGTATCATCATCATAATGTGCCGTGCCGACTTGCTAATGCGTTCATGCATCTGCACAGATCTCGGTCCCTTATCCTCTGGAGATGAAATCCCTCCATGCCAACATCGCAATCCATCAATCATCGTCTCTCTCGGTCTACCTCTGCCTCTTCTATTGTTAAAAAGCAGTACTGAACCCTTTTTGATATTACCGTACTGTATATTTTATATTAAAGAACAGTACTGTATATTTTATATTATTGAACAGTACTGTATATTTTATATTATAAAACAGTACTGTATATTTTATATTATAGAACATTACTGTATATTTGATAATACAGAACAGTACTGTATATTTTATATTATAGAACAGTACTGTATATTTTATATTACCGAACAGTACTGTATATTTTAAATTATAGAACAGTACAGTATACTTTATATTATAGAACAGGACTGTATACTTTATATTATAGAACAGTACTGTATATTTTATATTATAGAACAGTACTGTATACTTTATATTATAGAACAGTACTGTATACTTTATATTATAGAACAGTACTGTCTACTTTATATTATAGAACAGTACTGTATACTTTATATTTTAGAACAGTACTGTATACTTTATATTATAGAACAGTACTGTATATTTTACATTATAGAACAGTACTGTATACTTTATATTATAGAACAGTACTGTATACTTTATATTATAGAACAGTAGTGTATATTTTATATTATAGAACAGTACTGCATATTTTATATTATAGAACAGTACTGTATACTCTATATTATAGAACAGGACTGTATACTTTATATTATAGAACAGTACTGTATATTTTATATTATAGAACAGTACTACATATTTTATATTATAGAACAGTACTGTATATTTTACATTATAGAACAGTACTGCATATTTTATATTATAGAACAGTACTGTATACTTTATATTATAGAACAGTACTGTATACTTTATATTACAGAACAGTACTGTATATCTGAGAAACCCCTGGCGCAGCGGCTAGACCTTCGCTTGATGATCCGAAGGTCGTGCGATCAGGCCTTGGTCAAGCCGATTTGTCTTTAAAATATAGGGCTAGCCCTATATGCCCAATAAGCCTGAAGGGCCGCTCACTTTTACTGTTTATTCTATCAAGAAATACATGTTCTCGTACACAACTACACAGACTGAGAGCTCGGGTCTCATCTGTTGGCTGATCCTCTTCTACCTCTGGGTGTCTCGCAATAATTTACATTGTTGTAAACCGAAACTCCAAACAGACTGACAGGCATCTTTTTCTTAGTTTTCACCGGCAGTAGTTTCTGGTTGTTCGTCCACTTCTGAACTTTAATCTTGTTCCAGCACTTGAGTTTTGGGTGCACTTCCGTTTTACAGAACTGGCTTAATTACATGCAGATTATTGGTTTCTCAACTCTTAGGTAAATGCACTCCGACTTCAAAGGATTCCTAATTAGTCGCCTTTTACTACCCGCCTGCTGAAGGAGGTGGGTGGGGGGGATGTGGGTCTATTACATCCCGCCCACACTCAAAGTGTGTCTCTGAAACCCACATAGGAAACACACAGATATGACACACCGCGCGAGAATCTACTTGTTTAAAATCCACACATGAAGGAGTGGCTGAACCTAGACCGGCTTTGGTTGACAGGCCGTGCTGCTGACGTCACCAGGTCGGGCTAACGATGCGTTAACGCGGTGTTTCTAAAACAATAAATAAACTATTGTCGACCGTGGCTAGGAAGGACAACTTAGATTTTTAACTTTCAGGTATCTACATTCCTTCTTTAATAATTTCACAGTTCTGGAGCCGGTCGTGACTGAACCCTAGTGAGTCCACTCCTAAATTCACGGGTGTAAGTTTACAGCCACTCGTGCACTGTTTAAGTACGAATCAAATCAAAACATGAATTGAAAATTTAAAACAAATAGGAACAAATCCGAATCCCCTTATTTCATATGATTAAAAAAAAAAAAAAGCTTTTCAAATTAATCAAATCAAAAAGATTTTTATCATCTGATCGTACTCTGGATTTTTGTCCCAATCAGTTCTCGAACCCCCCCCCCCCCACCCCCCCCCCCGCCGCACCCTTTCCGCCCACCCTCTCGCAGTAACAAGTGGTACTTTATTATTAGCCGACCACAAACATAGAAGATCCACAAGTCACGGGACAGTCAAATATTTCAGGGGGTGGTAGATCAAGCTTATAGTGTTTGGTTAAGCCTGGGTTAGGCTAGGGTTAGGTAACTGCACGAAAAGCTTTGCCTTGGAAGAAACGTTCTAAGGCACAGAAATACGTTACACCTGCTCTTCAAGGTTAGTTGCGTATCCTTTACAGGACGTTGCAGAACCAACCACAGCAAACCCTGGCTATTGTGTGGTTTCTCTAGGCAAATCTACGTTCAGTAGTTTGCCCTTTCTTCCTGGACGGTCGGTCCCCTTAAACCACTGCCGAAACCAACGCAAGGCCCATTGCCCGCAGCTGGGATCGAACCCGGCACCCCGGCATTACGAAGCGTTCGCATCAACTTAGCCACAGAGCCGGCACACCTGCTCTCATGGACTGTCCAGTGATGTTATTTGTGGTCGGCTACAAATCAATCACCCAACCATTTTCTGGCCTGGGTGTCATAACAAGATGTTGCAGACTGCAGAAAACAGACCCTGGCACGCAGGGGTCAGTAAACTCCCGGTGATGGTTCAGGGGCCTCGAAAAAAAAAGGGGGGGGGGTATACCCACTGTCTGGCTTACAAGCCAAGAACTTCTTCTTCTTCCACTCCTCCTGTAACCAGGTCTTTCTTAGTATGCCTCTTCTCCTCTGTCCCTCTACTGAGCCCTGCTGTATTGTTTTTGAGAGGCCGTCAGATCTTATTACATGTCCATACCATTGCATATTTCGCCTTTTTTCACTGTAGTTAAAATCAGTTCACAGTTGCCAATGTATTTATGTACAAGCTATTTCCTTTTCACTGTTGTTAAAATCAGTTCATAGTTGCTAATGTATTTATGTACAAGCTATCGCATTTTCACAATAGTTAAAATCAGTTCACAGTTGCCAATGTATTTATGTACAAGCTATTTCCTTTTCACTGTTGTTAAAATCAGTTCATAGTTGCTAATGTATTTATGTACAAGCTATCGCATTTTCACAATAGTTAAAATCAGTTCACAGTTGCCAATGTATTTATGTACAAGATATCGCCTTTTCACAGTAGTTAAAATCAGTTCATAGTTGCCAATGTATTTATGTACAAGATATCGCCTTTTCATTATAGTTAAAATCGGTTCATAGTTGCCATTGTATTTATGTACAAGATATCGCCTTTTCACTATAGTTAAAATCAGTTTATGGTTGCCAATGTATTTATGTACAGGCTATCGCCTTTTCACTATAGTTAAAATCGTTTCATAGTTGCCAATGTATTTATGTACAGGCTATCGCCTTTTCACTATAGTTAAAATCAGTTCATAGTTGCTAATGTATTTATGTACAAGCTATCGCCTTTTCACTATAGTTAAAATCAGTTCATAGTTGCCAATGTATTTATGTACAAGCTTTCGCTTTTTGACTATAGTTAAAATCAGTTCATAGTTGCCAATGTATTTATGTACAAGCTTTCGCTTTTTGACTATAGTTAAAATCAGTTAAAAGTTGCCAATTTATTTATGTACAAGCTAAACAAGCTACACATAAGCTATCTGCCGGGAAATCAACAATATGAAATTATTATATTTGAATGTAGTATTCTGCAGTAGTAATAGTTTTACCCCATTAGGACATCACACAAGCGATAAACACCCGATGACACAAAGTGCTACCATGCTGATGAGGATCACCGTGTAGAGGTCCCAAAAACCCCGTTCATCCGTTATGCCATATTTATGGCCGGGCTATATTGCGGCCCCTGGAAGAGCTAGAGTAGGGCTTCAAAGTAACGAAAAATTGCATCCCACAATGGGAGGACTGTGATTATGTAACACATGTGTAGTATTCTGTTACTGCTTTCGCTAGATGTATATGAGCCTTTTAAAGGATTACATAATGTCTGTGATTTAGCAAACACATTCTTTCGTATTTCTTTTAATAAAAAGTCAACGACAGTATATTATTATATGTATTTGCATCTGTGACTTAGGTGTTAAGAACGTAAATTTGCCTAAAATGAGCTCTGTCAAGAGCACTATTAGGACTGCTGTTCATTTCCGTAAGGCTGTTCTTAATGCCATCACTCCATTATTTCCGATGTCTTCCACTGGCTCTATACCCGTTCTAACGTTTTAGTGTGGCTCGCTGTGGCAGATAGTACCAGGGCATTCTTGTTAGGTGTCCAAACCACTTCATTTGTTCTTCTTTGATGACCTGTAAGACTAGCTTTATTCCTAGCATTCGTCTGATTTCGTGATTTCGTATTCTGTCTTTCCTTGAAACTCCTGCAGCTCTTCTAAGGCATTTCATCTCTGTTGTCACAATTTTACGTTCATTGGAGGATGTAAGTGTGGATAGGCTACTAACGTAATTAAATGTATCAATATATTTAACAGACGTAATTATTTTTAAGTTTTTTTTTTTTTTTGGGGGGGGGGGGGGAATTATCTGGTGTAAATTAAAACGGTAGGGCCTCAAGGCCTTATAAGCTTAGGGCCTCATCAAGGCTACATCCCGTCTTAGGACCATGCAACACCCCAAGGTTGATGATATAATTATTAAAAATACACTTTTTCACACACAGCCATGGTCAAAATAAAATAATTATTTAAACAATGTTTAAAGGATACATTGTGCATACTAAGGGATTTCCCCGACGTGCTCCACAGCGCCCCATGCCACCCCTGACCCCAGCAGACCCCGACATCCCAGGCTTCTGTGCTGGGTGCGGCGGAAGGATACTAGACCGGTACTACTTACACGCCGTGGAGAAACAATGGCATCTGCATTGTCTCACCTGCAGTGTCTGTCACTTTCGCCTGGACTCGGAGATCACCTGCTTCGCTCGCGATGGGCAGATCTACTGCAAAACGGACTATTATAGGTGAGTCCCTCTGTGTGTGTGGTGTGTGTGAGTCCGTGTGTGTGCGCACGTGTGTGCGCGTGCGTGTGGGATGGGGGTATGTGAGTCCGTGTGTGTGCGTGCGTGTGTGTGTTTGTGTGTGAGTGTCTGTTTGTGGGTCCGTGTGTGTGTGTGTGTGTGCGTGTGTGTGTGCATGCATGTATGTGTGTGTAAGTCAGTCAGTCAGTGTGTACGTTCTGTCGTTGCACTTTCATAAGTGGCACAATACACCCAGCACTACTTGACAACAAAAGCAGCAGCACCAAAAAGAATAATGATATTTATATTATTTATCCATGCCGTTGGTAATCCTGTCGATGCTTTCCCTGATACTTTGTTAAAACAAAATCGCCACGCCCAACTAGCATCCCCCCCCCCCCCCCCCCAAGCAGGAGCTTGAAGTTATAATTGTGACTAGATTATGTGCGTGACAGAAAATGGCTCAGCACAGCACGCCAACAAGAGCCCTGAAAAAAAAAAACTGCACTGTTGACGCGATCAAAGGAGGTTAGTTGCGGATCCTTTACAGGACGTTGCAGAGCCAACTCCAACAGCCCCTGGCCGTTGTGTGGTTTTTCTAGGCAAATTTACGTCCAGTAGTTTGCCACTGCTTTATGGACGGTCGGCTTTCTTTAAACCGCTGTCGAAACCAACGCAAGGCGCATGGCCCACAGCTGGAATCGAACCCGGCATCCCGGCATTACGAAGCGTTCGCATCGACTTAGATCAAAGGACCCAAATAAATACTGTTCCGACCGGCGAGCCAATGGGCGACTTGGTCGCCGATTTGATGTTGTCTATCCACAACTTCTTCTTCCTAAAGATCATACCGTTTGGTGTTGGAAGTCATGTCCCCTCCCCCCCCCCCCCACACCTCCCTGGTCAAGCTTTCTTCACAAGATTTTCCTCCTCGTTCGTCCTTAAATGATCAACTGGCACCGTGTTTTGGGTTTACAGCTCGGCTGCGATATCTGAGCAGAAACAAACTGTGGTTAATATAATGTTGTCGGGCCCGTTCAGAGAGATAGGATAGGTAGAGAGATGGTGGTAGAAAGAGAGAGAGACATAGGGAAATAGACAGAGAAAGAGATGGTTGTAAGCAGAGAGGGTAGGGGGTAAACAGAGAGAAAGATAGGCAAATAGAGAGAAATATAGGCAAATAGAGAGAAAGATAGGCAAATAGAGAGAAAGATGGACAAATAGAGAGAAACATAGGCAAACAGAGAGAAAGATAGGCAAATAGAGAGAAAGATAGGCAAATAGAGAGAAAGATAGGCAAATAGAGAGAAAGATAGGCAAATAGAGAGAAAGATAGGCAAATAGAGAGAAATATGCAAATCGAGAGAAAGATAGGCAAATCGAGAGAAAGATAGGCAAATAGAGAAAAAGATAGGCAAATAGAGAGGAAGATAGGCAAATAGAGAGAAAGATATGCAAATAGAGAGAAAGATAGGCAAATAGAGAGAAAGATAGGCAAATAGAGAGAAAGATAGGCAAATAGAGAGAAATATAGGCAAATAGAGAGAAAAATAGGCAAATGGAGAGTAAGATAGGCAAATAAAGAGAAAGATAGGCAAATAGAAAGATAGGCAAATAGAGAGAAAGATAGGCAAATAGAGAGAAAGATAGGCAAATAGAGAGAAAGATAGGCAAATAGAGAGAAAGTTAGGCAAATAGAGAGAAAGAGAGAGGCATATGAATGTACAAAATAGACAAGTATTACCTAGACTTAGGGAGTTTAAATATCTAGGAAGTATGATCACAGAAGATGGTAGAACTAACAATGAAATAGAAACCAGATGTCAGAAAGCAAGTGACATATACCAACTGTCACCAGTATTTAGACATCCAGGCATAACTATGAGTGCAAAGAGACAGATTATTAACAGCATATTCATTCTAACATTAAGCTACCAGTGCCAAACATGGACACTATCTAAAGCCCATAAACGCAAAATCATCACCTGCGAGATGAGGTGCCTGAGAAAAGCAGCCTACCTAATCATTCGAAACCGATTGAATAATGATACTATCAGACAAATTGTGGGAACGACATCTTGCACTAGATTCATCGAGAAACAGCAGATCAAGTGGTTTGGCCATTTCGTCAGAATGCAGCAAGATCAAAAACCATCACAAGCACTACATCTCAGAAGATCAGCTGCAAGAGCAAGAGGATGGCGGGGGAAATCGCGGATCGACAACATTAAAGACACTCTACGCCTTCACGGCAGGACAATAGCCAGTGGCATCCTACGTGCACTGGATTGCAAATTATTCATCCCCACGCCGCTTAACGGCAGAAGTGGTTTATGATGATGATTACATAGACAAACGGCTAATGGGCAGTTAAACAAGAAGTGATGAAAAGAGGTAAACAGGAAAGGGACGAAAATGGCGGATAGAGAGGGAAGGGGAGAAAGAGTGAAAAAGAGCGAGAGAGAAAGAGAGAGAGACAGAGAGAGAGAGAGAGAGAGAGAGAGAGAGAGAGAGAGAGAGAGAGAGAGAGAGACGGAGAGAGAGACTGATTACAAAGAAGCATATCTAAAGAGGTAAAGCTACGGTGTGCAGTCAATATTTAATCTTCTATGTCGAGCACTGCATGTTATGCATCGAATGTTTGTTATGTATCAAGTGTTGTATACTGCATGTTGACAAAATATCACAGAACCCAAACTCCCTAATGTTGACAACAAGAGTGTTAGTCTAGGCGCGAGGTGAGGAGGGAGGGAGGATCTGATGAAGAGGGCGGTGCCTGCAACTCTCCAAGCTACCCGGATGTAATGAAAGCCTAACTGTTTGCGCCTGGAAATGTCGCACTTAAGGTGTATTTGTTGAACGGGGACATCGACACGTCAACCCGGGCCGGGACTCACTCACCCGTGTTGTCTCTGTGTGTTTATTTTCTCCCTTTGCTTCCATGCCGCCTTGGTTGCACAGCTCACTAATTGCCATCCAGGTCATTCCGCCACGGAGGTTTCCTTTCCTGGGGGAAAATGATCCCCTGGCAGATACTGCCGTAGGGTGTCAAATTCCAAGGTTGTCGCTTTTAACTGGCCATTGCTGTAGGCGGTGATGTGACGAGTGTTTTTTATGGGCGGTCAGGTGAATTACCAGCCACAACACGGGGTCATCGCTGGAGATACGGAAGTTCGTGCAACATACTTCAAGACTTTGTGTATCCATGTGACAATCAGAGCACTATCTGTATTTTTCAAGAGGGCATCAGGATAAACTCTAATAATGATGACATACACGGTACCCACGAGGATGGAATCTAATGATGATGACACACACGGTACCTATGAGGATGGAATCTAATGATGATGACACACACGGTACCAACGAGGATGGAATCTAATGATGATGACACACACGGCACCCACCAGGATGGAATCTAATGATGATGACACACACGGCACCCACCAGGATGGAATCTAATGATGATGACACACACGGTACCTATGAGGATGGAATCTAATGATGCTAACATACACGGTACCCACCAGGATGGAATCTAATGATGATGACACACACGGTACCCACCAGGATGGAATCTAATGATGATGACACACACGGTACCCACCCACCAGGATGGAGTCTAATGATGATGACACACACTTGGTACCCACCAGGATGGAATCTAATGATGCTAACATACACGGTACCCACCAGGATGGAATCTAATGATGCTAACATACACGGTACCCATCAGGGTGGAATCTAATGATGATGACACACACGGTACCCATAAGGATGAAATCTAATGATGATGACATACACGGTACCCATGAGGATGGAATCTAATGATGCTAACATACACGGTACCCACCAGGATGGAATCTAATGATGATGGGACACCACACGGTACCCACCAGGATGGAATCTAATAATGAGTGACATACACGGTACCCACCAGGATGGAATCTAATGGCAGATAGTTGGGGTTTTTACGACATTGATGTTTTGGGGCCGAAAGGGCCACAGGGCAGTCTAGTTATAAACGATGAGATACAGGCCGCACCTTCAAGGACGTGCACAGAAGTTTTTTTGCTTTGTCATCATCATCACCATCAACTGCTGCTTCTGTTTCTTCGGCGTTAGTCCTTAAAAAGGGCACGTTGTGTTGCAGTTTACCGCTAGGTTGTGATATTTGCGATTAACAAACACAAGCGAAACAAGCAAATCCTTAATTAGTCGCCGTTTACCACATGCTTACCGTGTTAATGTTCTTGGAGGGGGGCCGGAACATTTTACCCGGGGAATTTAAAAGGGAAATTTTGGTTTTAAAACCCCCGGGCAATATTTGGCAAATTTTTAAAACCCAGGCAAAAAACCAAAACACCCCTTTAAAAAAACCCGGGCCCCCAAACATTACGCAAAATACATGGGTAAAAATCCAGGCAATCATTAGGAAAAAATTTTAAAAACCCAGGAAAACTTTTAAAAGGGGGAATTTAAAAGGCAACTGGGGAAAAAAAAAACCAAAAAAAACCCCCCAAAAAAAACCCCCACAGTTTTTTTTTTGATTTCGCCCGTTCTACCCGAAAAAACCCCCCCCCCGCCCCCCCCCTTTACCCCCAATTTTTTGAATATTTGGATTTCATTTTTTTCGGCCCCCAAAAATTTTTATAAAATCCCCCTTTTTGAAAAAAACCCCCTTTGGGTCTCCCCCCCCCCCCCCCCAAAAAAAAAAAAAAAAAAAATTTCCCCCCTTTTTTTTTTTATCCCTTTTTTTTTTTTTTTTTTTAAAAGGGGAATTTTTTTTTTTAAATTTTTTTTTTTTTTTTTTTTTTTTTTTTTTTAAAAAAACCCCCCCCCCTTTTTTTTAATTTTTTTTTTTTTAAAAAAAAAAACCCCCCCCCCCCCCGGGGGAAACCCCCCCCCCTTTTTTTTAATTTTGGGGGTTTTTTTTTTTTTTTTTTTTTTTTTTAAAAAAACCCCCCCTTTTTTTTGGGGGTACAAAAATTTTTTTCCCCCGG